CAATCTTTAGGGTTCTCTATATACAATAGCATGTCACCTGCATATGACAATTTTATGTCTTCCTTTCCAATTTGGATGCCTGTCATTTCCTCTTCTGGTTTGATTTCTGTGGCTAGAACTTCCAGCACTTTGTTGAATATGTTGGTGAAAGCAGACACCTCTGTCTTGTTCTGGATCTTAAGAAAAATACTTGTAGTTTTTGCCCACTGAGTGTCATGCTGGCTGTTTGCCATATGTGGCCTTTATTATGTTGAGGTATGTTCCCAGTTTGCTGAGAGGTTTTATCATACATGGGAGCTGGATTTATGAAGTGATTTTTCTGCATCTATTAATATGATCATGTGGTTTTTTCCTTCATTTCATTTATATGGTGTGTTACATTCATTGATTTGCAGATATTGTACCAACTTGCATCCCCAGAGTAAATCCCACTCTATCATGTTGTATGTATGATCTTTTTTAATGTATTGCTATATCTGGTTTGCTAATATTTTGTTGAGGATTTTAGCATCTATATTGATCAGGGATATTGGCCTATAATTTTGTTTCTTTGTAGTGTCTTCATCTGGTTTTGGAATTAGGATAATGCTAGCCTCATAATATGAGTGGCACCATGTTGGCAGCTTGAAATGGGCTGTGGTGAACACACTTACACCATGGAAACTGGCAGATGTACCAAAAAGGGGCTTGGTTGTTCCCATCAGTGTCCATCTCAAAACTTAAGACAGTGATGCAGAAAATGTTAATAATAAAGATTAAACTTAAAAGTGTGTCTTGGGTGAATATTATGGTATGTAAATTGAATTTCTGTTGTTAAAACAATGTCTGTAGTCATTACAATGCAAATACATTACAAGAAATTGAGGAACTTCCTCTGGCATTCACTCACATCATTAACAAATGAATGACTTTCTTACAAACATCTTCAGCCTGTTTTACTTGATGACACAAAAGAAAACATCATCTAACATTCAGGTTGGAACTACACTTACCCATCAGTTGAGGGCAAGCTTAAGCTGGCTATAAATACACATGTCTGGCAAAAATCAATGAGAGCTTTCTAAGAATCAATTGGCTGTGCATGTACATGTACACATGTATGTATGTGTCTATATATGTATCCATACATGTAAATATATCCTTCCTCTTCCCCTGGCTGGTTGGTAAACATTTGGTTGGAAGTTTCCCAAGGTTTCTCCTACCTTTTCTAATTTTCTTACTTTGCTGTTCTCTCCAGGGTGAGCCCCTCTTGTCCCAGGGGTGATCCCAAATCTCTGTCCAGGCAGATATCAGCCCTGAGCTCTGGGCATGAATATCCAGCTGTCACTTGGATTTTCCCACCCACAAGATCACACATCTCCGAGGCAAACACAGAGAAGGTGGGGCCCTGGGGTTCAGCCGAGGCAGGATTTGGGAGCCCCTCAGCAACAGGATCTGATGGTACTGCCCAGGGGGGACCATCTTCTGGGGCTGGCTGGGTATGTGAGCGAGATGTCAGAGTTGGAACCAGCTGATGGAGTAATGGCTAGGACACCAGGGAGAGAGAGGGGTGCCAAACATGGTCTGGATGTAAGGGGCCAGATGTGATGAGATGAGGGACATAGCAGCTTGGGTGGGGGGAGGATGGTGAACTGAGTGTTGAGCATTTTGAGTTGGAGGTGTCTTTGGGACATCCAAGCTGGAAACAGATCTGGAGGTTCTGAGGAAAGGCTGGAGCTAGAGGTGTTTGGAACCTCTGGGAAGATTGTAATAAAGCTGAGGTTGTGTATGAGCTTGTCTGGGGCTGGAGAAAGGGGTGATAGAGGACTGGGCGCACCCTGAGCTGAGCCACATAGAGACCCTAGACTGCAAAGGGATGGGTGCAGCTAGTGTGGAGACTGAGGGAGGAAATATTCAAAAAGGAAGGTCACTTGGGGTGAATGCCTGAGAGGTGCCATGGGGCTGAGAAGTTGTGTGAGGGAGGCAGACCAGTTGACAATCCTAGGGTCAGGGGTGTGTGTGTGACCCAGGATGAGAACAGTTAGCTAAGATGGGGGCAGGCAGATTCCAGACCCATTCTCAGGTTCAGCTGACCTATAAAATGTGGGATGTGGAGAGAGGAGGGGTCAAGCCTATACCACAGGCTTCTGTGATTCATGGCTGGTGTCCTTGGATTCAGTAGGGAGCCCAGAAGAGCCAGGGAGAGTCAAGGGAGCCTGAAGTCCAGTCAGCAGGGTCTAACAGGCACTCACTTCAGGCCTGAAGCTCAGGAGTGGTCAGTGCTAGGGGACCAAGGTGGGGTCAGCCCTGAAGGGGGCATGGAAGAAGGTGCCTGGGAGGTAGAACCTAGGAGTGAGCACACAGGAGCCTTCAATGAATGTTTGTGGGAGGAAGGAGTGAATGACTGAGGGACTGGCAAGTGTGAGCACTGGAGAACTGTCCCAGAGGGGACAGAACCATGAGACATAGGCTGAGAGCTCCAAGGAGTCAGATCCTGCAAAAGCCTGCACAGGACGCAGCCTCCAGGTGCCGCTGCTCAGTTTGGCTCAAAGCATTGCAGGTGGCAGCGCCCAAGGAGTAGTTGCCTGGGACAGACTGCAGAACCTGGGAAAGATGGGAGGCATGAGGGGACATTTTTATAGAAGAGGTTTGGTGAGGAAGGAAGGGACATGGAGGCAGCAGCTGGACAGAAAACCATTAGAAGATTGGGCCCGGTGAGGATATTTACATGCCTTCCTGCCACCCTCACCTTTGAGCATCTATTCTGAGAGGCCTCCAAGATCTAACCTCCAGATCTAGCTCTTCCTAGTGGAGCGGCCTTGGAAAAATCCAAAGGATGACTTTAAGCTGAGCTCCTGTTGTGATATAAATCCCACATCAAAATGGTATTAGACTTACAGGAACTTAAACACAGATCCAGAAAAAAGCTACTGCATGGTGAGCAGGATACCTCACTTTCACATTTTCTGACCTCGTGGCAAAAGACTCATGTCCAGGAGACTGGGGGCTGACGCAGGGAGCCCTGAGTGCCCAGAAAGCCCGACACCCATTAATGCTGCCAGGGACGAGCAGTGAGGACAACTAGGACTCAGTTCCACTCCATCTCATTTTATTACAGTCCCATCCTTATGTCCAGAATCAGTGGCTATTTAATACACACCCCAAAGCACCCCTGAAATTGACCATGTTAACATGCCCATTTCTTTCCCAGCATATGAACTCAAAAGGAAAAAATCTTTATAAAACCAAAACCACCAGGTTTAGTACGTTCAGGAAGAGCACCTTTAGTAAACAGGAATCAGTGTGTCAGGAACCTGGCCAAATACACATGGGAGCAGGTGAGGCTCCCCGTGGCAAAGAATGACTCTCAGTGGAACATAACTATAGGGTGTCCCCCCAAAACGTTTCACAGGTGAGACTCCTGATGGAAGCCCTTTCCCAACACCATGGGCAGTCAGAGAGAAGGCCGTCGTCAGAAGGTGCATGGGTGGTTTCAAGGCTCAGGAGCTGCTGGTCCAGGAAGGCGTCATACACAGCCGTACTCCATACAGTCCCGCACCGTCTGCTCTGAGGTCACCGGCCTCGTGCTCTTTGACTTGTTCCCATGACTGAAGTCCTCAGGGACCCAGCTGGCATGGGAAGCCAAGTGGGGAGGCCTGCCCAGGGTCTTGGCAGGGAGCCCCTCCATGGCCCTGTCCTGGACCCATCATGCCAGCTGTAGTAGGTAAAGTCCTGGAGCTGGGAGTTGCTGCCACCACCGCCAGTGGCAATGGCTGGGGCCGTGGTGGCTGCTGCAGGGGAGCCGGCCTCTCCTCCTTTGGGGGAGCCAGCGAGAAGCACCTCATGTCCAGTGGTCAGCTTCAGGGACCCAGGCCCTGACAGGAGCCAGCAGCCTCTCCCACAAGAGGGGTCTTTTCCCAGACCAGGCTTTGGGAGCTGGAGTTGTGGTGCTTTGTGGGTGTGGCTCCGTTTCTCTGCCCCCTGAGGCTTCAGAATTCCTGGATTCTGAGGGGACTCTTGTTTGCAGGTCTCTGGCCCACTGGGCAGAAGCAGGATGACTGAGGCTCTGGCTGACAGGCATGTGGGAGGCTGGGGAAATCATGGCCTGCTGGGGTCTGCCCAGAGACAGGCTCTGGCAGGCTGGGCCTGCCTCAGGGGGTGCTGGGTGGGGCCTCTGCCTCAGCAGGTCTGAAGTTGGGCTTCCCACACTGCCCCGGCTCCAGCAGCTTCTCCTCAGAGGTGCTAATAGCCATCTTGATGGTGGGGCCACAGAGCTGGTGGGCATCCCAGTCTCTTCTCTCCTGGAAGGTGGCCCTGGCTGGCCTGAGGGTCAGGACATCAGCCTTTCTGAAGAGGTAACATAGCAGGTCATTCTGGCAGCTGAGAGTGTCCTACAGAGAAGAGAGGAAGAACTAAGAGGCTGGAGAAAGGCCAGGAGGGTCCTGGAAGAGCCTCACCCACCCAGGACACTCCTGGGCAGGCTACATGGCCAGGCCTGAAGTTTCCAGCTCCTGCTTGGCCTTTCCACAGCCTAGCGTTCCCCCAACACAAACACTGCCCATGGTCAGGATGGTGGGGCCAGGGCCATACATGGATCAGGGAGAAAAACCAGGCAGCCCCCTAACTTCACCAGCAAGGAAACAGACCCAGAGAGGGAGAGGACTTTCCACAGGCGCTTCCACTGGATGGGACGGTCAGGGCTGGAGGCCTGAGCACAGCAATGGTTTCCATCTGTTCCTCATTCCCACCAAGCAGAGCCTGGAGGAGCCTGGTAGAGGTGTCTCCTGAGGCAGATGGACACCATGAGAAGAGGAAAGGCAGTGAGTGCATGCAGAAGAGGAGTTGGGGTTCACCAAGGATGGAGTCAGACCCTGGCCCACTGGACCCATGTCAGGGAGCGTCCGTCTGTGGGACGGCTCAGCAGCCTGGAACAGCCTGCACCTGCCAGCAATCCTGGCCCAGGAAGACATCTGGACGCTCAACTTGACAGAGACACAGTCTGCTGTTTTGCGTCCAGGTTGGGAGTCACATATCCAGGGTTTTTGTACAGTGAGACCTGTGGTTAATAATATCAACAGGTACCATGTACCAGCTGCTTCCCATGTGCCAGGCACTATGCTAGAAACCACAGGTGTAATAGCAAGAGAACAAAACAACCCCCTTCCCTCCCCAAAAACCTCATTCAGTTCTCAAAGCACCCTTGCAAGGCTGTACTAGGACAACCTGTAATAGGTAAGGCAATGGAGGTCACAAAGGTCAAGCAGGTCGCACATTGAGAAAGGGGCAGATTGGGGACTGGAACCCACAGCTGTCTGACTCTGCAGCCACCTTCCGACCACCCAGCCCCTCTCTGCACATTTCTAAACCTTTGACACCCAGCTTCATGAGTCTGCCCTCTCTGACCCCCCAGAGGGCCCATCTTCTCACACCCCTCCCAGCATCAACACTCACGGAGTGGAGGCCTGGCACGGGCACCATTGTGACTTCCACGTCTTCAGGCCTGTTCAGGGAGGGGAGGGCGACAGGTTAGTGGGGTGAGCACAGTGGGGAGATGGAGGGAGGTGGGGGCGGCTCTCAGGAGAGGAGCATACGTTTCCACAACCAGCTCCTGCAGGGAGGATGCTTTGGTCTCATTTAGGCTGAAAAGGACAAGCCATCATCTGGGCACTTGGCAGGAATGCAGATTCTCAGGGAGCCCCCCTCAGCGCTCCTGACTCAGAAGCTGCAGGCCGGCCTGGGTCCAGGCAGCCCAGGGGAGTGTGGCTCAGGCCTGCATGTGGGGGCCACGGCTTCAGACCGTGACCTTCCTGAGGGCAGGGCTTTGGTTTTTCTGCAGCTCCGGGCACAGAGTGCTTTGTAGACAGAAACAAATGGAGAGCAGAGACCAGGATACATATTTCCTTTCAGGCCGATGCAGGACCAGGCACAGGGCGAGTCTATGATAAAACTTGCTGACGAGCCGGTTTACTCTGTTGTTTTGAGAGCAGGCATCCCCCGTGCTGCCTACACACAGGACACGCTCCAGAAATACCGACTGAACAGATACTTTGAATTCGCTGTGTCACTGGGCTCTACTAACGCAGGCCACAGAACTTACAGTGTGGCCAGAGAAAGTCCCACTGTGTGTGTTTAAGGGAATGAGACTGTAAGGCACGCATTTCATCCATGGGGTGACCCAGAAGCGGTGACCCCACAGCTCCTGGCCAGAGCTGTGTGAGGTGCCCCTGCGGCTGCAGGAAGCTGCCCTGAGCCGGGAGGGTGTCCCCACAGCTGACGGCCGGGGGCAGAGCTGCAGCACAGACCTCAGGGCGCTCGAGCTGCGGCCACCTCTGGCTTGCGCCTTGTTTTTGTATGGCCTGTGAGCTAAGAACAGTTTTACATTTTAAATGATTAAAATATTTACTATCTGGCCCTTTACAGAAAAAATCTGCCACACTCTGCTGGTGAAGGTTCAGAATAGGTAGGTGTTCAGGGCTCTGCCGCACACCTAGTGGGAGATGCTAACTCTCAAGTGGGTGCTGACCACATCTTCAGGGGAGCTCCAGGGGTGGGCGCACACCCTCCCACCCCCATGTTGGCAACACAGTTCTGTCGCTCACTTCACAGGGGAGGAAACAGTCTCCTGGTCTGGGCTGGCTGACAGCACGCTGTGATTTCCTGGCTAGTGGTTCTGCTCCCCATCTGAGCCAGGCTGCACCACCCCCAGTCCCATCCCTCTCTGTGACTTTGTTGTTAAGGTGCCTACCTCTGGTCCTGGTCCATCTGAGGGAGTGAGGGAGGAGAGTGCTCCCAGGCCTCTCACAGCAGTGGGGGAGCCCTGGTCACTGTCCTCCAGGAACTCCTCCAGGGTGAGCATCTCACTGCTCTGCTCAGGGAGGTACAGGGCTGCACCCAGGCCTGGGGCTGGGCCGCACCCCTCTTCTGGATGCCCTGCTGGAGGAGAGGTAAGTTCCGGGGTGGCGGTACTCATGGCAGCTGAGGGCAGTGCGTCCTGGGGTGCTGGCATCCCGGGGCAGGGTGGCTGTGTCCCTGCTGGAGATCAGGCCTCCACTGCCGAAGCTCTTGGATCTGCAGTGGAGCTCATCGGAGGAACCTGGTCAGGGGAGGGGACACAGAGGAACACACTTCANCACTGCTGAAGCTCTTGGATCTGCAGTGGAGCTCATCGGAGGAACCTGGTCAGGGGAGGGGACACAGAGGAACACACTTCAGTCTCCTAATCTCGCTCGCCAGCCTCCAGTGGGCTCTGTGCTGCCTCTGGCTCCCTGAGCACAGAGAGAGCCCTGCCTAGGAACCCAGAGCACACTTCTCCCACGCTGGCATCATGGGTGTCCAGGGCATTCTGGAATTCTCTAGAATTTTCCATGACATTTAAAAACAAAATAACTTGAGATAAAAGTGGAAAGCTTCTGCTACAGCTTAAATTATCAACAGCCATAAGCACCACACTCCTTAGCCTGGGACAGTGCAGACAGACCACATTCTGCACCAATAAACAAACTTTAAACATTGCGAAGGAATCAAAGTTACCCACCATGTCTTCTGCCCACTGTGGACCAGAACTACTGGCACTGTCCCCATCCCAAAGCTGAAGTGACTCAGACTCAGAAGATGGGTGGCTCATCCAGGTCCCCAGAGCTGGTCAGTGGAGAAGGAATTTGAACCTAAATCCATTAAAACCTCCAGACCTGAGCTTGAAGCTGCGTGATATAGCCCTATGAATGCAAATGCATCTTTCTTTGTATTGTTTACATTACACTATATTGTTTAAATTATATGAATTTAATTGTATTGTTTAAATTATACAAATAATACATGCCCAGAATCAAAGATCCACATCCACAGAAAAGTGCACAGCAGGACTTACCCTCAGGCTAGGAGGGGAACTGTCACTGGTCCAATTCCAGCTGCTCTCTAGGCTACCTGGCCAGGGCACTGAAAGGAAATGACAACACTTAACCTACAGGGCTGATGCCAAGTACAGCCCACATTAAACCATCCAATCCGAAAACAACTAATGACCCTGCCCAAGTTCTGGCAAATGGCCTCAGGAAGGACAGATTTCGAGTTGCTCTCGACACTCCCAGGAGGAGTCCAGCCTCACCTGAGTGCTGGGTACCACACACAGTGGGCTCTCAGGAACAACAACTTCTATCTATGTGTGTGAGGTCTAGGGCTGTGGCCTCAAACAGTTTTGTTAATACAGAAAATCTCACACAAAACTCCAGTAGAGACAAAAGGTCTGCTCTGGGGTTGGGGGTTAGGGGGAGCCCACCATTATTACCGCATGGAGCTTTCTGGAACACAGGTGGAGACACCCTGCCTAGACCAGGGCAGTGCCGCCTGGTGAGGGCAGGGGCCAGGACATGGCAGGTCATGCGTCCACATGTGGACAATGTAGCCTGTGCTGTGGGCAGCCCACTTCCCCTCCGTGGTCCATGGGGGCGGGACAGGGCCCTCAGGAGGAAAGAAGTCTGCACTCTTCTTGGTTCGCTGCTCTTCAGCTCCTCTCTGTCCCACGTTTACATCTGCCCCAGAGGGGAAAGAAATCAACCTTCACAGTGACGATTTGGGGGAACCAGGCTCACCCTCTGCTCCCTCGGGTCAGAGGGTGAGCACCAGCTGCAGGGAGGGGGCACCGCCCCTGCCAGGGGCAGGCTGTCCCTTCCAGGCCTGCAGACCTCCCCTCCTGGCCCACTTCTCCAGCACACGCAGAATCAGGGGCCTGCCCCAGGTATCATCAGTGTCTGTCCTGCTGCACACGGACAGCTGGGGGACAGGGACATGCTTCACCATCCCTGCTCACACCTTGTGCAGAGCTGAGCTGCACTGAGAACCGGGGACTCACCAGGAGATGCTCTGCTTCCC